GATTTGGAAAGGAGCCGTGTTGATTTTAAAAAGTTCTTAAAAACCCTTCGATCTATACCCCCCCTCTTCATCTCATTACTTCCCATATTTTCTTCTGATTCTGTCGCTTACCTCCGAAAAAGGTATGAGGCTAGTTTCTCTTCTTTTACCATAAACTGAACAAAACAATAAAGATTCTTTTTATTAGTTGGTGCAAAAATAATGGCCGCATTGCGAATTCGCTTTGACGTGCTATAACTTTCTAAAAGATTCATATTTCCGAATGCGGTAACGATCATCAGAAGCAGCAAACCTCTCAATACAGCGCACATTTACATTGTACATTTACATTCACATTATACTTATACCCATATCACGAAGGGAGAGAAAAATATGGATTGGAAAACAAAAAAAGTTCTTCTGTTAGAACCTTGTTTTTGGCAATTCATAACTTCCTTCAAAGTTTTTTAGTATAAATGGCAGCGGTACTGCCAAGCCGACTATTGACTACGCGAAGGATTCAAAAGAAAAATGAAATTTGGCAAAAATCTTCCTCGTTGTTGCTTCAATGATTTTTGAGTACATACGGAATCGCGAGAAATTTGTGCACTGTGATTCATTAACTTAGTTGACAATTTTCTAATTGACAACTCATTACGCTATCACTGATTATATACAAAAACTGCTATAGTAAATCGAATTCAATGGAAACGGTTAGGACTTTTGAAACAACTCAGTTGATTGCAAAAGCTCACCTCGCTTCCAACTCTAGAATACCTTCTGCTTTTCCCTTCAAATTATACATCGGAATCTTCGTTATAACTCAGCCATAGCTGAAGGTCTTGCCAACGAAAGGCAAGTAGCTATTATACAGGGTGTCCGTAAAGTATGTATACACTGTTTGATCGTTAATATCTCTTTTCCGAAAAAGTATTTTGCCTTGCGTTAGGTACCATTCTGTAGAGCTGGCTTCAGTTTAAATTTACAGTATGAAGCGTATCATCCATCTCTTTTCATTACTGTAGGATTACGGTGGAAACTTCAAAGGGGGTTTTGAGCCATGAAAGGCCATATTTTTCCTCAGAAAGGAAACAAAACAGCCTGAGAACTCTTACACTAGGCTAATTAGAGTTTCTGATTCTAATTGTAAAGTTCCCAACTTATTATGATGCTTCATTGAAGAGTTATGCCAGGTAAGATGTAGCGGCCATTTTTTCAATGTTCCTAAAATGTGCGGTTACGCCGTTTTGAAAGCTTCGCAATCTTGTGAATAATCGAGTATTGAACTCAGCGTCCATAAAAACCCTATTACACAAGTTTTCACATTTATTGAAAAATTTTGAAACGGCAGCTTTCTCCACATTGACACCATATGTTTCAAGTTTCTACCGTAATCCCACAGTAATGAAGAAAGATGGCGATTCGTTCTATACTGCAAATCTAAGTTGAAGCTAGCTCTACAAAGTGGTACCTGAAGCAAGGCAAAAGAATTCTTGGGAAAAGAGATATTAACGATCAAACGTTGTATACATACTTTACAGACACCCTGTATTGTACAAAATGAGCACAGAGTGGGCGAAGGTTGGTGCTAGGAGTAATTCAATCACCCTGCTGTATAATTATGCCTTCGTTGTACAACAGATCGTCGCAACTATCATACTTTATTCATATATAGAACGGAGTGCTTGTTCCTGTCTGTGTGAATTGATGCTCATACTATTTTCAAGATAAAGTGAAGCAATTAAGAGCCGAAAAGGTGGAGCATCGATAATAAACATAAAAATACGTTTACAAATCACAGATAGAACACATTCTCCTATGCTGACGCGTGAAGAAGGAAAAACGGTAAAGAAATGATCAAAGGTAAATGGGTACAAGAGTCTAGAATTTAGCATTGACAGTCTTATGAAGAAGGTCCCGCAGTGCACACTCATATTACATGTCGTAAAAGCCACTCTCATGATTAAGTCCATCGGAATTACATGCTACCATCTTAGAAGGTCTGCATCGTCTTCTGCGAAAGTTTCGATTGTGATCGGCTCGAGTTTATCGTTTGCGCAGTGTTACGCTCTTCAAATATGTGTTTCTGAAAGGAGTGATACCCTAGAGAATTTCTCGTCGAGCAGAAAATTGTTTCCTAGTCGTTAGCATAAAGTTGATGGGCAACATATATTTATTAAATTGCCTCAGAATTTTTCTTGTTTGAAGTTTAAATATTTTCCGAAGACGACTAAGGAATCTACGAGGGTGCGAAATCACGGAAACACAGAAACGCTACAAGCAAAGTTTGAAAGTTTACCGCAATAGTTTTTCCTAATGTCTAAGCATCAGAAAATACAGTAACGGTCCGAAAGTTTTGTCCCACCATCTTCAAAAAAATCGTAACTTCTTCCTAACTAAACGTTTTTGCAAGAGTAAAACCATGTTGAAAACAGCAATTCTTGCACTTTCTAGAAACATCTTGGTTGCTATCTACTAAGCTCTGAACGCAGAGATAAAATTGGAAAAACGAAATCACTTTATTTTCGGAATTTTGAGGCAAGCCCGTTAAAAATTCCAAAACTGTGTCAGAAAATCTGAAGCAGCCAGTATCCTAGACTATTTCACCCCCTCCTTACAGAGGAGCAAAGTTCGCGTTGATCGAGCCGTTCTTCGAAAAGTTATGATTTTTTGAAAAAAAAATGTCAAAAAATCAATTTTTTTAAGACACTGATTTTTTGACATTTTTTCTTGAAAATCATAACTTTTTTCAAAAGAGCTCGATTAGCGCGAATTTTGCTCAGCTGGAAGGAGGGCATCAAGAAACCTAGGATACTACCCATTTTGGATTTTATGGCACAGTTTTGAAATTTTTAAAGGGCTTGGATCAAAATTCCGAGCTTGAAGTGATTTTCTTTTACCAATTTTATCTCTGCATTCAAAGCTTGTTGAATAGCATCTAACGCAGCTTTAGAAAGTACATGAGTTGCTCGTTTCAATATGGTTTTATACATGCAAAAACATCATGTTAGGAAGAAGTTACGATTTTTTGAAAATGCTGGGACAGAACTTTCGGACTAACCTAATACTTACCAATGTCTAATATGAAAAGTATTATACATGCTTGAACAAGTGCAAGATCCACAGGGAATATATGAAAGAATATACGAATTTTTTAGATTTTTCGGGCATATGAAGCATTTCGAATTCTGGGTTTAAATTCTATGTGCGTCAAACTCTATGCAAATGTTTTAGAAGCCAGCATATAGAGCTTGCTTTTCTTTATCCCGAAGCTACTTGGAACATGGGATGATGACTAACTAAGCAGGAAATCATGAGACAACCTAGATTAGTGTAGTGAGTTAGATCTTCTCTAAATTCCAACTCACAAATCAAACGCCCTAAAATCAAATTTCATGAACCATTTTCGAGGTTTGGTTCAAACGGAACAGCTGCAGTAAGTTCAAAATGCCTAGTAGATCCTTTGTTAACATTTTCACATACTGGTGATAAAAGTTTCGCTTCCCATGTAGCACAGAAATATCTCAATCCGTCTCAATTTCGGTCGTGATGACGCTTATGTTTGCTCGTTAGGTAGCAACGGACACTGTGTTTTGATTGCGGATCGCATCGTTCCTCAAAGGTCTCCGAAACATTCGCTCAACGCTATCACGGCTACATATCAGTTACATTCTTTGAAAGTCATTTTGTAGACTCATGTCAATTCATCTACGGTCACCGTCCATCATTGAAGTTTGCACTTTATTTCCATATAAATGACTTCTAAATCTTTGAAGTAGATCAATCAATACAGTTCAAATCAGTCTTTGCCATTTTGAAGTATGCGATGATATCCTTATTGTCACTTTTCTTTCGTTTTCCAAAAAGGGAGGATTACATAGCATTGAAATCAAGGTTTAAATTGTATCAAGCTTGTTTCTTCCTTCAAGGGCACTGCCATCCATCGGTTCCATAGAAGTGATACTCTTCTACATTTGTATATCGCAAGACTTATTTTTATTCTTTACAATCACACAAAAGGAAACAGTCAACACTCCGGTCAATTCAACAACAAGATATAAATTCTTTCAGAGACCTCAGTGTACATTATTTAAGGCACTGCGTTGTAAAGAATGAGCTTTGATTTTTTAAATATCTCAAAATTTGTCAAAGTCATCTGTAGACCTTTGTTGTAAATTTTCATACAGCGATGGGATTCAAAGTGTAACTTCCATACCAATTTTCACCGATTTATAGAAATTTTCGCAGCAGCATTTTGAATTCAAACCTTTATTTGAAACGTGCTAATAATGCTCACAAATTTTTCGGGCGATCACAAATGTTAAATGAATATAGGCTGGAAGGAATCGTACTTAGCGTCTGCTTCAATTTAGTTGCTCATAAAAGCACAGCTATTTGAACGATAAAGTCCATGCAGATGAGCTTCCTATTTTTTTTCTACCAACTGTAGAAAAATAAACTACATTTGTGGTCAACGTCGTCAGAAATAAAGTGAAACCTTAGATGATTTTGAGCAGTTGATATATTTCTTCTTACTGAAACTGCCCCTTCAAAACTCTACTGGGAAACTGTCAGATTTACTCCTGCACTCGGATGACATAGTAGTCAAGTTTCCCACAGAGTACAGACTCGCAGTGAATGAAACCATTTTAGAAATTTCCATAAAATCTCGAGAAGTATTTTGTCAAAGAATGGTTGAGAACGAGATTCTTGAATTTCACAGCTGAAAGAGCCGTGGAACACAAATTTTCAGAAAGACCATACTTTGATTATTTACTTGTCACTATTTTTGGAAAAAGCAATTCTTTTTAAAAGGCTCGTTTATGCACAATTTTCTTGAAAGTCATATCTTGGAAACTGCGAGCAGTAAAAGCGATGCTTATGTTCATAAGTTTATCAAGCGCGCAAGATATAGCGTTTCGGTTCTATAATAATAAGTTTTAGACCTTATTTCTCTTGTATTTTTCCTCCAGTAAACTTGGGTCGAGGCCAAATCGGAAGTCAGACCATAGCTAGGTCGAATGTCACAGTACTCGCCGTCATTCGGCACATCCCCTCTGCCACCGGCGTCACCACAGCTCGTCGCGGAAGCGCCCATTGCTGAACCTGAGCCTGACATTGTGGATTATGGTCTGGACAATAATATAGGTCTATAGCTTTTTAAAATTGAGACAGTTAGAACTGCAGACACAGAAATGCAGACTTCCATCTTCAATCTTCATTGATTTTAGAGCGGACCATCGAAGAAGATGTTCTCGAAGTTCTGGACAATGTAAAAAATGGTCTCGATACCTATCGCGCTGAACCGTGCAAATCATCACCAAGCATTCCACAACAGTCGCTTTCATTTCCAAAGGCGGTGGAAGGATGTCACAAGGCGTGAGTTTACAAAATCAACAGCTCAAAAATTCTAGACCATCGCTTACTCAAGATTTTGAATCGTTTACTCAAAATTTTTCCTCGCTCATTTCTCACTCCCCTTTTCCCCTCCCCCTTCTCCCGTCTTTATATCGTACATACTTTTCGATTTACTTCCTTCCCACTATCCTTTAAGGAGCATTAATAGCATTTCCTCTCGATTTCTAGACCTAGGACAGAGATTATATCAGGCTATCAAAATGCGATCTTAGCTCAAAACCTGATTGTTGTAAGTCGCAAAAATTTTCCTTTATCATTAGTTCTTTCTTTCATTGCTCTTTGGTTCCGGACTCAACTATCATTGGAGCCCAGCTTGGTGCTAAAGGTCTAACTTCCTATTTTTGTCATTTTCTCGAAGAAAACTTGAATTCGAGTTTTGCCCTGGTTTATGTTTATGTTCGCAATGATTACGATCTCAAAATCTCCAGACAAGCTCAAATCGCATAACTGTGCGCTTACGGTAGCGCTCAAGTGGTTGGCACTTCATTAGTTCAATTGTTTACACAGCGGATGGTGTCCACTGACCGTAATCCCTTCCGATCCCTATGCACACATCTTTACATCACGATTTTTGACAGGCGCAGTTGTAGAGTCTCAAATCGGTATTTTATACTAGCAAGTACTTCCTGGTGGCATTTGGAAGAGCTGCAAACCAAACAGATTTCGTAAATATAACAAAAATAGTCCAAAATTCCGATTTTCCGTAAGATTAATTAATTTCTTATCATGTTTCAGACCGTGCTCAAAGTGCAACCTATGGCTCTCTGCGCTTTTGGGACTGTTCTTTCTGCTAAGCATTGGCTTATTCATTGTTTGGGCAATTACAAGTCGAGGTTTCTCCAATCTTGGCAGCATTCCAAGAGTTTGCACTTCACGAGACTGCATCGACACCGGTATGGAATATAGTCTATTTTGGAACGATTGTTTCTCTCAGAGCAAACAATCGATTTAAAAATTATGCGAATTCGTATTTCAGCATTCCGATTTACTAATAATATTGATGATACTGTTGATCCATGCGAGAATTTCTATCGTTACTCATGTGGAAAATATCATAGCCAAGACCTTGAAAAGCAGAAGAGTTTCGCGCAAATACAGGAAGAAGCTACTCATCGTGCCTTGTATGGTAAGTTCCAGAGATATTGTAGTGATCAAACTTCATCTCTTTGATCGTGCTGTATAAACAAAACAATCTCATAGTTCGTAAGCAACAATATTGCTTTTACGAATCTTCTATAATCGAGAAACTGAATACACATATAAAGTCATTACATCTCTAAGAGAGCAAACTACTTTTATTTTAACTTCAGGCTTTTTCGATAATTTTATATTTCTTGCACGTAACTTCTTACTGAACAGTTATTTTTTAGGTCTACTCTCATCTTCTGATTCTAATGACACCAGCAGGTCAGCCAGGTTGGCCCGTGATGTTTTTGCATCCTGCATGAATACTGATCAGAGGCAAGCAATTTTGTCAAGGTTCTTTGCCATATGTGCAGGGGCCAGCTAGTATGAGCAATCGATTAGTGAGAAAATATTCAGTTGGTTACTGATATTAGCTACCAAAAATTGCGGTTGATTCAGAGTGAAGAGTATGACTTTTTGAATAAAAGACCAATTGCAAAAAAACCCCGCGAAACTCATCAAAGAAAGACAGTTCAGGACAAAAGCTGGCTACGCACCTCTACTGGACCGGCTAAGGAATCTACCATGTGGTCCATTACTAAGTGGTTGTAACTTCAATCCAGGGACATATAGGTGAATTTTTCTAAAATTGAGTTGTTCTCGCTAAAGTTCCAAGCTCACTAACAAGGCGATCCCAACTTAAGGTGGCGAAATGGAGCAAACCGCATACCATTGAATACGTCTTGATGAGCTGATTCCAAATCTACCTTCCATATCTGCGATGCCTTTATTTGGAAGAAGTTATGAGCGGTTAAATATTTGAAGTTACAAGTTATTTCATTGTCCAATGTGCTTCAAAATCTAACTTGGGATAGCATGACTAGAATGATAATGAGTGTACTGATCCTAAGAATGTTCACCTTCAAGGAAAATGCAAAGGAATGCTTTTGGTAAACTAACTCTTAAGGTATGGCGCTGTATATTTGCCAAATTTAGACTTTTCATTGCTCACAGCTTTCACCGAGGAACTTTAGTTGCTTTTTAGTTGTGCAAAAAAACTCACTTGGGTTTCTTTTCAATGTGAGCATTCCCTGGAATCAGTACACTCACTATCACGCTAGTCGTGCACTTCCAAGTTGGATATTAAAGCATATTTTGCATTAAAGCGCCAATGACATCACGTTTTTAACCGCCCATAACTTCTTCCAGATAGCACATTGCAGATATGGAAGGTAGATTTGGAATCAGTTCATCAAGACGCATCTAATGATGTGCGGTTTATACCTAGTCGCCACCTTAAGTTGGGATCGTTCCCTTGTAAGACGTCTTGAGAATTATCACTTTCTAGTCAACAGCAAGCAAGTGCGTGAGTCCTCATAGTAAAAATTTAGAAATCGAAAACCAGCATTTATATCAGTCAAAACTTGAATAGCGTCGAGTTTTTGCTTCTATATCTGCCCTAAGAACTCAAAATAAGTTTTCAACAAGTTTTTTTGTAAAACAACTACTGAAGGTTCATGTGCAGGAAATGAGCATTTTTGACCATGACGTCTCCAGTGTGAAAGTCTTAAAAAACTTCTAATGATCTCAATAATTCAGCTGGGAGCGTCACAGTGGAATGCTGGGTTGGTATGCTGGGCAATACAATCTAGTCGTTTTTGATACCGATGTGCATCCACAGGAGCGAACTCAGATCACGCTACAAGTAATAGGTTCTTATTAGAAAGCCAGATTTCAAGAAAATTTCCAGTTCCGTCCGCCTGATCTTTCCAAAATCGTTGATCCTGTCCGTGACGATCTCATACGCCTGGCCAACCCTGGCCCAACAGAATTTGACACACTTCTTCAGGTGCAACTCAAGCAGGTGCAGAAAATTTTCTTGCTAAAATTACTTGCTGTTATTATTATCATTATTATTTTCACCTCGATTGCAGAGTCTTGCAAAAACCACTCTGTTAAAATTAATCCAGCCAGACGAAAAGCAGAGACAGAACATGCTTGAAGAAGTCTCGGACCTAATGGTCGACATCTACAAAGTAAGAAATCACCAATAAAAGCTGAATATTCGAGTGGAAAATTTCTAAAATTTTACAAGTCTTTCAGATTTCAACAGGAACACCATCCAACATCACATATATGACATTCGATCAACTCAAGAGGGCTGTTCCACAAGTGGGGTTTTTTTTTCGAAATTTTCATTGTTTGCGCACCTGCAAAGCGGGAAAATGAGACAAAGAAAACCATCGAAACTTCAAATTATGTATATGGTTCTAATTGGGGCTGTTTACATGGTACTGTATTTTACATATCTTGGTATGTACTTCGAAAAATTTGCCAGTCGCTGTTTCATGCAAAATTATGTAGATTTTGTAAGAAACGAACTGCGTAGCGAAAAATAGGTAAAGATTTTCTGACGCTTAAAGCATAAAGGCAATGCCCAGGCAAATGTGTGTAGCTGGGTTATTTCCTAAAAATCACCTGACATTCGGGACTAAAATATGATTCTAACCTCCCACCCTTGCCTCAACTGGGAATGTTGATATTTGCCAAGATTACGGAGATGAAGTTAGTAATGAAAAGGTAGATTCAACTGAACCTGCTGTGTGGGCCTCAACCGGTTTAACGAAATCCGCATAAGCAATCAGACACTGACTTGCCATCACAACACTATTCTTAAGATTCTTCTAATAATCCAAGTTAAAGTTATTTCTAACTGTGTTCCAAAAATCAGATATCTTTCTCGAACTTATGCTTTACCTAGCGATACTCCTCAGCTAAACAAATTTGCTTTGTCACACAAATATCCTGACTCAACTTCAGATAGCATGGGACAATTTACTCTACGCCGAGTTATCTACTGTTATGAAATTAGCGGACACTTCGACGATCTCAGTCATAAATCTCGTCTACTTTGAACAGCTAGCTCTGGTGGCATCCAGACACTCAGCTCAAGCTTTGGCCAACTATCTGGTTGTAGCTGCGGCAAGGCATTTGGAACAGTATATCTATAATGATGAACCGAGGTAAGGGTTATTCAAGGCTTTTTTGAGCAGATTGACGCTTGAATAATTTTGCGCTTTTTAGCTGGATACAATGCGTGGAAAATTTGAAATTATTTGAGCCGGTACAGAAATTGTATATACTCAGCCGTAGTAATGACTACAAATTGGAGAAGGTAAGACCGGTGTCTTCTGAGTTTTTGAGAATTGTACCAAAAATAGTAAGTTCGTTAGAACATGCCAATTTTGAGATTTTCATATCTCAGTCTCATAATTTTTACAATTTTTTCAACTTTCAATTTTTCACCTTTATTTATTGATTCAATTTTTTACTTTCATGGTTTTCATCGCCAACTCTTATAAAGGCTTTCTATTTTTGTAGAAGCGCATTTTATGTGCAACAGTTAAGAGAATTTTTCCAAAAATTTGACTTGACCGGTATCGATTCGAAGTTTTAGATCAAATTCTACCTCATGGATATCAAGCGGATGTTCATTCTCTCCCATCAAGCTAAATTTCTCCGATATTTGGGTGAAATCAACAGAATTGCTTTTCTGGTCGGTTATCCACGTCGCCTGACTGACGAGAACCTTGTATGGAAGCCGCTTGCTACCGTAAGATCTCTTCGTCTTACATTTCTCTACGTGAACTAGCTATGTCTTACTCTTTACAGATGGTAGCTGATCCAAATGATTACTTTGGCACAATAATTCGACTGCTAAAGCAGCAATCTACTTATCGCTTGTCGCAAGTGGGAACATACTTAGATACTGATGACAGTACAACATTCGATGTACTTCTTCCTACTCTTCAATTCAACCCGCAACTTTCAACTATGGGTTCGTCAAAGATTTTCTGAGATTGAGTCGATGTGCAGGGAAGACCACCCTTGTACAGTCAGCTACATACATTGATGCTTTTTCTTCTGATATTATACATCAGCAGAGCAAGTGCTAGCCTTATCGAATATGGTAGTTATTTACGACTTTTTATGAATTATAGCATAGCTGTTGAGCAACTTTGTGGAGTATGTCAACGCACTAAAGCAAGCTTTCTCAAAAGGTATCAGGAAACGTTCCAACTTTTGTAAACGGAAGTGACCGTCCATATGCTTCAAAAACTAAACACTGAAACAGGAATACAAATGTCTTCTATGGAAACTCCCCTTTACGAACTCCCGTTCATGGTGACAGACTGTCTTCGCGCTAATCATAGGCCCGTAGTAAACCTCCATTCATCTCAGGTGACTTGAGATTAATCATTCAGAAGAACTTCCTCGGGTGAACCTAATCCCGCCCACCTTCCCGTGCTTTAGGATAGTCAGTTCAACAGTCAGAAGACTGTCCGGTCAAGTGTCACATTTTGTTCACCAGAATGCCACTTATCCGAGGTTGAATTTTTGGGTGACCCGAAAGAGATAGTGTGCTTAAGAGGAGGATCAAACAAATTTCCCGTAACTTGCTCATGAGTAACTTATGGGAGAATTCAACTGACGTACTGCTGCGGTGCAAAATTCCCAAAATTGCACAATTTCGGCGGCCTAAATGGGAGAGGATCAATGAACAGCTGACAGCAAAGAGAAAGGCAAAAAAAGCAGGATTTCTTCTTTTATCAGGGCTCGCTTACGTTCCTCTTTCAAAAACTGCTTTGAACAACGATTTCTTGATTTACTTCATTTGTTTTATGTTCCAACATTTTCGTTTTAACGTGATATCTTCGGCAAGATATGATTCTTTTGTTTTATCCATTTGTTTGCTTGGCGATATCCTTAATAACGGTCGCCATCGATTTTTCTCGTTAACGGCCGCTATCAAGGATTGTGCTGCGGTGGCGCAAAAATGTGTCACTAGCCGGCTTTGAACCATGGACTTTCGTGTCGAAACCATTCACTTAGCCATTCGACCAAACCGCTCAAGTGGTTTTGTTTTTGAGATCGCACAAGATCTCCAGGTGTAGAAAGCGATCCGAATCCGGATCGATGGCTCACCGGATGCCGGACTGAGTCGTTCTACGTTCAACGTAGGCCCGCCCCCAGCCGAGTTGCGCTGAGAGGGGGTTTACTACGGGCCATAGTCGAATGTCTTTGCAGCCGGGAGATGGTCTTTTCGCACGGGCGGTCTCCAGAGTCTCCCTGATTTTGACGTGTCTTAACATGTAGTGCACGCCGCAAACCTTACTCCCCCTGTTTTGCTTAGGCAAAAGCCGCCGCAGGGTGTGTCGCGCGCGGCGGTGGTCCTGTGTGGAAAGCATTACGGTCGTGCGAATCGTCCTACACCCTTTGCAGCCAGCTTCCGTTAGTCTTCTTTATGGCGTCAGTATCCTGGGCTTCCCTCCCCCATTTTTCGCCTGCTATTAACATTTTGTCTAAAAAGATAATAGCTTGCCAGTAAGCATGAAATGGAACGAAGGTAGTAAGCTTAGAATGTTCTTCATGGGATTAGATCTGAGCCATGCAAAATATCTGTATCCTGAAGTCGGAATGGAAGTAGGTAAAGCTTGATAGTTAGTTAGGCAGTAGTTCATGTTATGCTGTTGAATATCAATCTGCTGTGTAGTTCGACATACTTACCGGATATCCGGTTCAAACCACTCGCTCTAAAAAATAAAGCAGCTGAAAAGTACCAAACTGCGCTTCTTTTTGGTTCTAAATTCATGACATGTCACGGGATGAGCAAATTTCTCTAATCAATGTTGAAGGGTGCGCTTCTTTGAAAAAAGTTCTTCAAAAATTTCGATGAAATTTCATTTATAAAAATATTCTCAAAAACAAAAGTATGACAAGAAAAAGTGCTAAGGTGGGATTTATAGTCTCATATCTTCAGTGGTTCCATTGGCCTTTCTGCAAGCTCCCATATCATATCCCAAAAATGATGCTCCAAAATACTCCATATATGGTAGCTTAGGAGTAACTGTCAACCACTTCCTGGCAAAGGTTTGTTCGAGTTCGTTGACCAGAAATTTGTAAGACAACTTTATCGGTATTCTTTATAGCTAATTTGGCCCCGAGTAGAGAGAGGATCTCAGAAGCAATGTTTGGTAAATATCTTTCGCGGATATCTGTCCACACTCTACCGAAATAATGCAGATTTCGAAGTCAGTTCGAAAATGTTAATAAGGCGAAATATGGATATTGTATATGGTGTTTTAGGACGAAATCTTAAGAACCATCGAACTTTCCGATGCATTGGACACAACATCCTACAGCTACATCGCATTGAATGGGAACAATACTACACGAGAGCAAAAGCTTCCAGGATTTGATAATTTTGATGACGTACAAAATATGATGATGACATTCGGAACGGTAAGTTTCTTCGTTGATGATCGAACTTCAAAATATCTGTGCGATTCAGATGTTCTGCAATAGAGACGGTGCCCAGCCTGGCTCACCCTACGAGGCAATGTGAGTGATCGTATGCCAAAGTTAGAAAGATTTTGGGTAAAATTTCATCGCCTTCTGATTGAGTTCTTGTGAGCTGAACTATAATTTCAACTGATGTTTCGGCTTGAACGCCTTTTCAGGTTTGAACATTCAGTCGGAAAAGATGCAGAATAATGCCAGCTTAAAGTCAGTGTCCAGACAAATCTGGGCACATGGGTTTTTTGCCTGGAAGCTGATAAGGGGATCCTGAGTAAGGCACCAAGCCGCAGCGTAAATAATTTATTCACGGTTAAGAAAACCGTCCCCAAAACCTCCGCGCCTGCACCGTAACCATAAATTTCGAGTGACTTAGGATGGGTCCCAGCGCGAACGTAGTGTTAAAGTGAACAAAGTCATTTTTGCCCAGGTCTGCCTGTACACTGCCGTTAAGCCGTCGTTCACTATCAGTGAGAGTTTCCAGTAGGTAGTTATATCAGAAGTTTGATTTTAAAGGGTGAGAATCTTACTTGGCAATGGATTTTCAACGAAATACGAACGGCATTAAGAGAATAATTTGTAAAGCAGCGCTCTTCAGTCCCATATTGTCAATTTTCAGGATCAACACTGTGGCAACTAACACGAAATTACTCTCTCAGCATTTCAAGTGCCTCAATAGCTCTGCTATCTTCTACAGAAGACAATGCCTTTGAATAGACTACGTTTTGCAAATATTAACAGATTTGTTGTACAGAAGATGTCAATGAGTGTAATTACGGAATCTGCCAAGCAGAAAGTGTAGAAATAAAGCACAATGTTTGTCGCATATAAACAGTATACCAAAATATCGCAAATGGCACCTCCTACAATAAATCGCAGAGAAAGCTTTTTATCTTTCAAGCAGAAGAGCTAACACAAAGAAGGATGATACTTTGAAAAGTACTAAGCGCAAAAAAATTTTTTGTTCAAATCACGTTATCTTCAAGGTTTTCCAATGCTAAAGTCTATACTTTTTTCAGACCTTTTTCAGACCGTATAGGTTCAAGCTTAAGATTGAAATTCGAGTTTGATTTTAGAGTTTGGTTTTTCAAAATGCATTCATCTCAATAATGCGTCAGATACATAAGTGGGGGGTGATGATGTGTAAGCTCGTATCAATAATCAATGTTGAGTCCATCAAAATTTCATTCTTTATGATGCACAATTTTAAGATTTTTATTTGAAAAATACGGAAGTTGATGACTTTTTCTTATGAACCATTTGACGTAAGCTCACTATTTATTGTTACGATAAAGCGCTGATAATTTTTTCCAATACTCTCTTTATAGCCCTGTATAGTTCCGTGCGCCTTCCCGTTGAACATTTTAGGGCTAACTGTTTTATGAAACAAAATGTTTTGATTCATCTAATAGCAAAGAGAACGCGCTACGACAACATTCTAATTCATACTGCTTTTATTGAGTAAAGTAAGGTCCTTCAAATCACTCCCTTCTTGAGTCTCATTCCTATGGACCAAACGAATATTGGGTTGGCGGAAATTCCCCTAAGCTTCTTTTTTCTCCTGAAGTTTGTAAACTTTTGATAAATCTGCATTCAGTTGCTTAGGGGCTGACAGCATTTAACTACATATTCATCACCTTGTGGCCGCCAAGAATCACTTCAGATGGTCATTGCCTTCTAAAAATTATTCTACATTTACCGCTTTATTCGTATCTCTGTTGATATGGTCAGCATCTGTGTGCATAACAATCACGATGAGTTGCGCTGGATACAGCAACGTGTTAGGTGAGCAACGTTATTTCTTGGAAAAATTGAATATTCATTATAGACATATAAGTCTTGCAAAAAATATGACAAACTCTTAGAACGTTTAGAATTTTTGAGTATTTTCTAAAGAGCATTATGTACTTCTTTTAAAATATGTTGTTGTTGCTGCATGTTGTGTAGCATAAATATCGAAGAATTTGAAACAATGTCTATTTTTATGTATGTCTGTTTTGTAATGTATTAGATTGTCTCATAATTAATGCGCGTTTTTCTAACCTCTTTTTGAGAGAGCTGATTTTCAAAGAAAAAACATTTTTCTATGCAACCCTTTATAGTTTCGGAAAGCCCGATTCCTCTAGTTTCTAATATGTGCTTTCGTTTTCACAGATCTTTGTTGAAGCCGAAGTTTCATGCCTTCAAAGACAAGTGATTAAAATTTGAAATTCTTTTCCTTCACTCTCCTTGCTCTAAATCTATGAAAAGTAGACGGATTTTCTTTAAAAACATGCATAACGATCGCGAAGCCTTGTGCTACAAAACGCCTGTCTGTGTGAGATTTTTAAAAAATTCCGAGCTATGAAATATTGTCTCAAACTTGGGCTGGTCGCTGAGGCCCATTTAAGCTGCATAAAAATCCCAGGCAAAAAGCGACTGTATAAATTCCGCTATATACACTTAGAGTAGACCTAGTATGTACAACTAATGCTAGAAAAAAACGCAGCATTCCATCGTCTTTTCGAAGAGAAAAATTCAAATGTCTTAAAAAGGCAATTTTTTGGATCATCCAAAATAAAAAATGGGTACTTCCAGTTTTTTTGCAAAATTTCCTCACAAAAATATGCCGTAAAATTCAAACTTCACTCCATTGCACAACCAACCATCGGCTATATAATGAGCAAAGTCCGCGCGATCCTAGTACATTTTAGCTGAAGTTAAGCTCTCTCAAAGTACAGGTTTCTAAAAAAATATTCAGAAATTTTTTAGGCTATAAAATCTTTTTTAAAGCGGCTGCGATCCAACAAAAGCATGCGTTCTATAGTCAAAGGTTTGTTGTATGCAGCAAATTTTATTGCGCTTAAAAAGATGTTTTGGGAAAAGAGTTATCTTGATTAGAAGTTGAAATTCATAAAACGTGCATTAATTATGAGACAACCTAATATTAGGTTGTCTCATAATTTTTTACCGTTTGTACAGCCGCCGTCTTTTCATACCTTTCCTTCATCTGGTATGGCTTGAATAATCATTCGACAGAGCAAAGCAAGCTCTACAAGGTGGCTATCAAGAGTCTGGTCAAATCGTATTTCACGTGAAATTCTGAGCTCAAATCTGATAGCAGTCGAAAACGAACTTTTCGGAAAAAAATCGTATCTCCGCTCCAAAGTATCTAAAAAATTCCCCATTTATTCTGACATATGCTTGACACATCGCACGTTCGATTGCACACTTTCCGAACTGTTTCCATGGCTAGAAAAAAAGAAAAAAATGAATGAGACAAAATGGCAAACTCTGCCCTTAGACGTCCTTAGCTCTTCCCACGCATGTGTTCATATAGCTCATACATATGGAAGTACGAACATGTATTTGGATTTTTTGTAGGTGCCCCAGTTCTCGAGAAATGCTGATGTTTAGGTTAGAAATGGTAAAAAATTATGAGACAGCCTAATATGTCTGTATATATTAGGTTGTTGCAAAAGTTCTGTCGTTTCATTTTCAAAAATTTGTAACTCCGCGAAATTTCAACGGATTTGCTTGCTTGTAATTTTATTAGAAAGAATAATTCTTTCGTTTTCAAATACTGTTCTGTAGAGCTTCTGTTTCGTACTGGGTGCGGAGATAAAAATGGAAAACTAAGACCATATAAGCTTTGACCATTTTAAGTTAGGTCACCAAAAATCTGGAATGCTGCAGAAAAACCTGAAATCCTCAGTACATATGTTTTTTGGCCTACCCTTTGCATCTTTGAAAAGTTTGCGCTGTTTGGACGTTTCCGTGAGAAATTATGAATATCGAGTTTACTATGGAAAACGCCAAAATTAATTAATTTGTCAATTTTCGCGAAAATCATAACTCCTCACAGAGACGTCCAAACAGCACAAACTCTTTACAGATGCAAAGGGTAGGCCGAAAAACATATGTACTGAGGATTTCAAATTTTTCCGCAGCATTCCAGATTTTTGGTGACCTAACTTAAAATGGTCAAAGCTTATATGGTCTTAGTTTTCCATTTTTATCTCCGCACCCAGTACGAAACAGAAGCTCCACAGAACAGTATTCGAAAGCGAAAGACTTATTCTTTCTAATAAAATTACAAGCAAGCAAATCCGTTGAAATTTCGCGGAGTTACAAATTTTTGAAGATGAAACGACAGAACTTTTGCAACAACCTAATGTTCTGAATGGAAATTTTAATTTCTGAACCGAGCCGGACTAAACTTTGCACACATACACTTCGTGGGCAACTTTCCGTTATCGATCGATATCGATTCTCTCGAATTGCATTTTGAGCTATGAGACCGGAAGTTGGCACAGGTGTGTATGTGAGCATGCTAATTACAATATAAATATTATTGACAGGGCAGAGCGGAGCCGGATTTGCCACCTAGTGCTGAATAAAAACTTGACAATGACTATTCAAATATGTCTACTTCCGATGTGCAAATTCGCTGCATGGTATATACAAGACATGTGAAAAAACGAGTCAAGTGAAACGTCGGACTTATGAAGTATACCCACTAGGAAAAATACTGATGACACAGTCGAAAATGACTATTATTGAAAGCAAGCTTAATCAAGAAAATACTGACTAAATCGTTTTGCCTTGAATTTTACATGGTTGGATAGAAAAAGCAGGTCAAAGAATCAAAAGCAAAAATAAGAATAAATTTTCGTAGACGTTCATACTTCGGCGACTGAAATTTTTAGCCATTTTTCAAAATAATTTTCCTTTCAGCTTGTGCTAAATGGCAGCAGAAATGACTTTTCCACTTCTGGAGCAAAGTATTCTAATCTCAATGTATCAGTTCGAGTGTTTCCGTTGATTGAAAAAATTATGAAATCAAAAGTTTACAAGACTTGAGTTGACCCGCCATCAAAAACGTGAAGTGTGATCCCATAAGCCCACCATGCTGATCAAAAATCGAATGGAAGTCTATCAGAGTAGGATCAGAATTTGAATAAAAATTTTGTGGCTGCAAAAATTCCAGCTGAACTTTTAGCTATGCTCAAGTAATAAACAATGAGAAAATTCTTTTGTTGTAGAAAATTTCAAGACAAAAATTTGCAGATTTTCATTTTCTTGACAGAATCCGCCGATTCACGAGCTTCGGACTATGTTCAGAATTTTTCAAGCAAATTGTGGAATAATGTCCTTCAGATGTTTTCGGAAAATTGTTTTGCTTTTGATGATTCAGTTTTTATGACCATTTTGAAAAGGCCATTTGATGTCATACGCACACGTTGCAAAGATGATCCAGATAAAATTGCGACATAGCGATCTGTGCTGCCATCTCTCCACTCATAACTTTGAACAGTGCTCTTTCGATTATTCGTTTTTGTCATTTTTTTTACTTCATCAGGTGAAACCCGAATTGGTTTCAGTTCCAAGCAAAGTACTCTGTAGCCAACTGCACCTCTCGTTAATTACGAAGAAAGATTTCAAAGCCATAGCAACTTTTGGAACGGAAAGAACAAAGCGCAGGGAAGATATAAGGTCTCGTAGTTGCTTGAGTCATTTGTGGCTTCGTCTTTTTTGATAGTATCTGCTTTTACTCTCTCCTTTCTTTTTTCTGCGTCATAATTGCTTGAAAGAGATAATGCTATAGGGTAAATGAGATCTTCAAGCACTAGGGATTCGAGAAATCGTGACGATGGTGCGACCGCGCGCGACAAGTACGCATACCCGGCAACGCTGTTTTCTTGATTTCTTCTCTACTCAAGTAATTTCTCTG